TGAGGCTCTGTATATATGAGAAAGTCTGACCTCGATTTGTATTCGGTGACGATGTCTGTGGGTTGTTAAAATTTTAGTGCACATTTTCACTTATAAAATATTCTATACACAACTGGTCAAAAGTTTGGGGTCAGTGTGATTAAATATGTTAAAACAAGCTTCTTCTGCTCACCAAGGCTGCAATTATTTCATCATAAATACAAATTGTGAAATGTTGCACCATAAAATAACTGTTCAAAAGTAGTTTATCATATAATTTATTCATTTATTCCAGTGAGTTTAAAGATGAAATTTCAGCTTCATTACTCCAGTCACATGATCCTTCAGAAATCACTAATATTAATTATTGTTATATTTATTAATGGTAATAGTTATAAAATCAATAATGTCTGGAGTAATGATTTTATTTGAAACTACATACAATAACAAAGCAGTTATTTAAAATTTTGATAAATATTTAACAATTAAACCTTTTTTACATTTATAAATATAGCCTTGATGAAATGAATAATTTTCCTTAAAAAACATTTTAAAAATTACCGTAAATATATATACAGATTTATTAGCCCCCTTTTGTTTTTTGTTTTTTCTTTTTAAAATATTTTCTAAATGATGTTTAACAGAGCAAAGAAATAGTTTTGATAGTTTGTCTGATAATATTTTTTCCTCTGAACAAAATCTTATTTGTTTTATTTTGGCTAGAATAAAAGCATTTTTTAACCATTTTAAGGTAAAATTTATTAGCCTCTTAAGCTAATTGTTTTTCAGACTGTCTACAGAACAAACCATTGTTATGCAATGACTTGCCTAATTACCCTAACCTGCCTAGTTAACCTAATTACCCTAGTTAAGCCTTTAAATGTCACTTTAAGCTGTATAAAAGTGTCTTGAAAAATAATAAAAGATAAAATAAATCAGTTATTAGAGATGAGTTATTAAAACTATTATATTTAGAAATGTGCTGAGAAAATCTGTTCTCTGTTAAATAGAAATTGGGGGGAAAAATAAACAGGGGTGCTAATAATTTAGGGGGGATTTAGGGTGTGTGTGTGTGTGTGTGTGTGTGTGTGTGTGTGTGTGTGTGTGTAGTTTGTTGACCCTCGGTGCCAGAGGTCATGGGGGAGGCGCTGTCAGTTCGGGACGGTTTGGTGGTGTTGTTGTCGTAGTGAGTTTTCACTGCTGTGTGGGTAATTTGGATTAATTAGCAGCCGCTCTTTGAGGGATATTGACTCCCAGGCTAATTAGAGTAATTAACAGTCTTTGTCTCAGTCAGACGAGGTCTTTAAACTAGTCACGTGCACCTTTGCAATTTAGGTTATTAAATTAGTTTTTTTATTCATATTTGCTACGTTTTTTTAATAGAATTTTCATTCATTTTATTTGTTTTATCACAAAGAAAGCCAAGATCTGGAAAGTAAACATTTCATTTATCATTTTTGCTCTTACATGTTTTTTGTTCTGTGTTTGTTGTATTCCCTCTTTTCTTCCATTGGAAATGTCAAAAAGATTATTTAAAGGTGCTGTATGTAAGTTTGACACCCAGTGGTTGAACTAGGTATTGCACTCCTGGTTCAAAACACACAAGCGCAGGTCGCCAGATTGACGACATCTACAGTGCAAGAGTGAGTCTGACTATCAAGCCAAAAGGCTGATTTAAATTGTGTTCTTAATAAAAGCAACAGCCCACAATAAAAGGAAGATTTTCCTTATTAAAAGGAGTTTTTGTTCTAACCAACTCCTTGAATTTATAAATTAGAAACAGCTTCTATTTCTTGCAGCTGAACAACAGTAAACTGACAATGATCACCTCAGATACAACTCATGTCCTTTATACCGTGTTAAAGGCTAGTAATGTGAGTCTGAATGCTGTTTTACATGACATTTATTGCCATACTACTGAAAACAGCAGCAGATAATTTACCTCAAATCTTGAAAATAAATAATTTGAACCTAAGAACTGTGATCTAGTGCAAACCAACACATATCAGTGATTCAGCATCTACATTTAATAATGTTAAATAATATGTTAGAATGTAAACCTTACCATTTAGGTGAAGTGCAGTAGGTGCAGTTCTGTGCTTCTGAATGGCTCTATTTAAATTTTCTTGACCAAATGGATTTTTTTTTCAAATGGCTAATTGCGATATTGTTAGGACACGATGTAACAATGTTACCTACTTGCCTATTGTTTACGTTTGTGATGTTTATGTTATTTGCTAATTAATTAAAGTCCCTTTAAGGCAAGTTGTTTCACTTGGCGGCCATCTTTAAAACGCTTCTTGGGCAGTATGCTTGGGCATTCTGTTTGATTGGGGAAACATCAAATTCTTCAAAACTGCTTGCCGAACATTGAATTTCATATTAAAAAATCATCAATAAAATTAAACAAAAACTTGTGTCTTTAAATTTATTTTTAAACGTCCGAATCACACAAAATCTGCAGAAACTCACGTCTGGTCCCTGGAGTGTTGTCAGTCTTTAACAATCGATAATTGGCTCATGTACTAGGAGGCAGCATTCATTCATCATATAATGATCAATGATTGGCTCCTCTATTTGTAGGCAGGGCTTTATTCACCATATTGACTGTTACACTTTTCCCCATTCAAAAAGATAGGAGTGACATGTCTTGTGTATTCTATTGTCTTTGTTAATAACCATCTCATGTGAATCTGCGTCTCATTTCGAAGTCTGCTACTGTCCACCGGAGGTTGCATTTCAGTTGTGGTACACTTTGAGAGAGCTTTTCTGACTGAAATACACACACAAGGGCAACCCAGGATGCTGAAATATAAATGGCTAAACTGGCGTTGGGCAGGTTCAAAAAACCAAAACAAACACAGCAATTCTGGCACATAATGCACATTTTCAGCAGACTTCAGCATTGTTTTTCAGAAGAACAAGCATGTTTCTTTAATCTCTGCAAGAATATAAGGGTATTTTTATGCTTTAGAAAAGTCAAAAACACATGCAGCACCTTTAACAGTTTCTTTTTAATTTCAGTTTTGTTTAATTGGACACCTGTTACAAACTTTTCATATTAGTTAATTATAATTAATTTAACAAAATTGCAACTTTAATTTATGTTAATTGTATATAATTTTGTTTAAGTTTAACCCTTAAAGACCGAGACAGCCGCCCGCGGCTAAAAATAAGTATTGCTCTTAAATGTTTAATAACTTTTGATCCGCTGATTCGATCCATACAATTCAAAGATTGGCATAAAGAAGAGAATCTCAGCTTTCCAGCGCTTTATCACATTACATTCACGTACTTTCAGAGGCTCCGGAATCAGTGTGGTTACGTCATCAAATTTTGACCGCTGATTTGACAAAGGGACGCTCGTCACTTGTCTCTCCGGACAAATCAGACATGATACATGGATGCATTGTCCCTCCTCCATGCCCAGATTGGTTCAAACTCGCTCTATCTCAACCAATAAGCATAGGTTTCGCTTTGTGAACCAACAATCAGCTATTTGAACAACACTGAATGAGAGATAGGCTGCACATTTACGCGCGGCTAAATAAAACGCAAAAAAAAAAAAAAGTTTTGCATGAAATAATTCTCATACTAAGTACTTTTGCATGCACAACAGCACTAAAACATGACAAAACAGTGACACAGCAAAGACGAAGTGCTGCTCTTGCTGTTTTCAAAGGACGCAAATGAAGGTTGGGCTGTTTGTCTGCATTGCACGCGAACCATATCCATATCCACAGACAACCATATCCATGCTGGCACATAAAACCTAAGGATGGTCCATATTGAATCTAGTTTAGTTATGTAACTATTTATAGTATAGTAAATATTTATATCTATTTTATTTACTGAGGATTTGCACCATGTTTATTTGGACTTTGACGCATTATTTATTATTTTCTTATTTTATATTTGTTCATTATAAGTGGTGTTGTTTATGGTAACTAAAAATATAATATTTGGAAAAAGTCAAATTTGCTTCAGTGTTCTGTTATTTTGTAACATTTTTTTCTGTTTAGTTCATTCCCAGAACTTTTGGGCAAATACATTGTCAGTAAATAAATGCATTTTTTCCCGCCATTGAAAAACGCCTTGGAATAACATTGAAATAAATTGCTATAACTTGCTCAGGTAATGGTGGATGTAGACAAAATTTATTTTGGAAGTATAAAACATCATAACATGTATTTCTAAAGAAAGAAAAACAAACTTCATAAGGTTTTGTTTGTAATAACTAGAAAATGCCACTTTTTTAAAAAATCGTTTCTGGAAAATTCTGGAATATTTTCTGTCTGTTCATATGTTTTTGGACCAAAAAAAGTTTTAGACTGGACCTTTAAATGATACAGATTGAAACTTCAGGTTCTCCTGTTTAAAATAATATATGACACTTGAGTCTGACTGCTAAAATAAAAATAAAACTGCTTTAAAAAAATAATAATAATATAGGCCCATTAGGTGCCCACAAAATACCTCTAGGTCTTTAAGGGTTAACAATCATTTAATTATTAATTAATTTAATTAGTGATACTTAAGTTAACTCTAGTTAGCTATAATTTAGCAATTAACTTTTAAAATTATTTTTGCATTTGATTGAAAAATTTTCGTTTTTCAACAAAAATGTGAAGCAGGGCTGAACTGTTTAATTGAATTTAATTTAGTAAATTTAATTAATGACTCTTCACTTTCCTTCAGCTTATTCCCTTCTCCACCATGAAATGTTAACTGCCTAAATATAACCAATATATTAATCAGATTTTGTTCATTTTAATTAAATACTTTGTTGATTTTAGCTAGACACAATTATGTTCATTGAATGCCATTAACAGGTACAACCATTTAATTTTAATGATGGTAAAAATAATTGTTAAAAACGATTAATACATTCTTTAAATTTACTATGCGCACTGTTAGTACATGCTAGCTAATTGTATCAAATGCAATCATTCTGTAAAGTGCTAATGAGTATACTAATGTGTGATGCTGCTGTTTTAAAATGTACTTGCATCTATGTCTAGATCAAATAATCTTGAAGACACCATCACACTGATCAAGGGCCGGATCGAGGAAATTGACCTTCCAGTAGAGAAAGTGGACATCATCATTTCAGAGTGGATGGTAAGTGGATGATTGTTAATATGGAAATATGTTAAAATGCTTCCCTTAGAGAAAAAAAATGCATTGAACATACAATTATTTTGCAACAAAATGCCCTGCTCATTAAAGCATAATGGCCAGCTTTGCCTTAAAGCTCTGCATTCACAGCAATTACAGTTGGTTTTTACCCAAAATCAGGCATAAAGGAAGTAAATGTGTCAGCAAATTTCTTTTCTGCCCAGTCATTTCCCTTTTCAGAACCTGCTCAGGGGTTGGCAGATGAAAAAGCTGAAATGTATTGTTGATTGATACTAGATATATTGCGGGCATAATTCATAATGGCATAACTTTCATGCTCATTTAAGAAGCCAAACAACACTCCTCATTTATTTAGACATGACTGATGATGAATATGTGAAGGTTTAAGAGATGCACGTTCATTTGCACATCAATTTATCTTGGCTGAAAGTAGAATTTTACTGAATGTGGTTAAAATTTGTTACAGTTTTTTATGTTATTTTACTGCTTATCTGAACCAGCACTTTTGAACAAACTATTAGATATTATTAAATGACATTGAATATTACATTCGTTTTTGATACTTTTTAAAAATAGATTTATTGTTTATTTGATCTATTTTTACTTGCAAAAAAAGCATTTAATTTTGTTCCCCTAGTTTAGTCTTTAATACTATACGAATGGTCTCTGTAGTTGGTTATAAAACATTAGTTTTTTTTTTGGTTTTGTGTTTGTAGTATATTTCTTTCATTGGAAAATTTAGGGCATAAAAGTATTGTAGAATTTTACTGAACGGCCACAGCCATATCACCCTGCAGCCAAAGACCGGTTACTCACTGAAGCTAAGCAGGGCTGAGCCTGTTCAGTACCTGGATGGGAGACCACATGGGAAAACTAGGTTGCTGTTGGAAGTCATGTTAGTGAGGCCAGTAGGAAGCACTCAACCTGTGTTCTGATGCCCCAGTATAGTGAAGGGGACACTATACTGTCAGTGAGCGCCGTCTTTCAGAAGAGACGTTGAACCGAGGTCCTGACTCTCTGTGGTCATTAGAAATCCCATGGCAGTTCTCATAAAGAGTAGGGGTGTAACCCTGGTGTCCTGACCAAATACCCTTCATCGGCCCTTAACCGTCATGGCTGCCCAATCATCCCCATCCACCGAATTGGCTCCATCACTGTCTCTCCGCTCCTCCAATTTCTGGTGTGCGATGTGCGCACTGGTGCTGTTGTCCTGTGGCAGCCGTCGCATCATCCAAGTGGATGCTGCACATTGTTGGTGGTGTGGAGAGACCCCCCTCATGATTGTAAAGCGCTTTGGGTGTATAGCCATACACAATAAATGCACTATATAAATACACATTACATTACACCACTACGTGTTGGGAATTTGTTTTATTTTTTATTATGATATTTCACAAATGATCTGAACCAGCACTTTTGAACAAACTCTTGTTAAAAGAGATTGAATATTACACAGAAATCTGATAAAACTCATACTTTGGAAAAAAAAGAAGGCTGAAATTAAATAAATTAATTAAAAGTAATAAAAGATATGCATTAAAATTACTAAATCTACTGTTTATTTGAAATAAAAAATCCTAATTCAAATTAACAAATTTAGTTTAACCTAAAATTAAAACCAAAACAAGCTAAAATAAGAAAAAGGAAAACAATCTTTAAAATGCTATAACTTAATTACTAAAACTAAAATTTAAAGAGAAAGTATTATGGCTTACTAAACCAAATAAACATCACTAAGTATTAAATTGTTTATTGATAAAGTACAAAAGTGACAATAGGATGCATTAAATGACTAAATCTACTCTATATTTTAACAAAATTTCTACATTTAAATTCACAAAATTTAGTTTAAAGGTGCAGGAGGTGATCTGCCAGAATGCTAGCAGTAGCATGATAGCTTAGAAATTTTACATCCCTCCCCTGCCTTCAAAAGCCATGCCTCATGAATGTGCAAACGCAAAATTATATTTCCCCAAAACTGTCACAGGCTGTCACTGTTCAAAAATCAACAAATGTGAATATAAATCAAATTCACCTCAGTAAAGCTGGTTAGATGGAAGAGCACATTTACTCATGTTTTGTTATTAAACTAAATAAAAATTATATCAGAAAAAAAGCAGAGCTAAAAACGTTACGTTACCAAGCCAGCGAGTGACTTAATTTTCAATTGTGCTCGCTGATCCTCGTACATCGCTTGTTTTCAGCTTCTAAACGAATGCTCAGGTCTATTTAACCAACTATATTATCGATGTTGTAAAAGGTACTCCATGAACTTGAAAATAGCTAATCTTTTGCTGGATGTTTTCAGTGGCTGAACAACACTTCCGTGCATATAAACACATTCATAAACAAGAACACAATCTACATAAGCTTTGCGAATTAGTTTTAAAACATACCTGTCTAAAAGTAATTCTTCAGCCGTGGTGTCATCCTTTAGAATTGTTGTCCTTTAGAACAGTTGTTTTGAACTGCATAACGTCAATTTTCTCCAGCATGCAAAAGTAATTACGATATTGATTTAGGGTTTAGAAAAGTTTTGATTCTGTATTTTTGGCAGAAGCCCTTTAAAAAATAATTGTCTTTTTCATGGATACAAGGCCATGCCGGTCTTTCAGAAAGTTCCGAGGTTCAGGTTGATGCAGAGTTTGCCTGATGTCTCTCTGTCAGTTGTAGAACCATGTTTCATGTGCGTGCAAGTGACGTATCTGTCTGCTTAAAGAGTCTGCTCAGAAATTCAAATTTAAATTTGTTGACCTGTCGAATTTGAGTTATTGGTCAGTCCGACAATATATATTGGGTGAACTTTTTTTTTTATATTTATGCCTTATTCACAATATGAAAATACATATAAAAACATTTATATCGTTTACTTTAATCATTATCAATGGAATGTGAAGAGACTTTTATCCAGCACAACAAAAAATGTCTCTGAAATGTCACTTACTGCACCTTTAACTTAAAATTAAAACCAAAACAAACTAAAAAAGAATAAATAAAGAAAACAATCTTTAAAATAACAGCTTAATTGCTAAAACTGAAATAAAAAGTGTTATGGCTTACTAAACTACATAAACATAACTGAAATAACTATACAATACATAAAAACCTAATCTTTGATTGTTCTTGCTGATAAGCTGTTCATAAAGAACATTAGTGTCTTTCATCATATTCCTATTGCTGTTGTTTGTAAACTGGTTTCCCGCTGTGCCTGATGCCCTTTAAAATGGCATTAAATTGACTGCAATGCATGACATATTGTGGAATTGCTTTGATTTCTATCCTAGCAATACACACAAAAAATCTGTTCTAGATTTGGCAGTGAAGAAGCGATAAAAGCCAGCATTGCTCTGCACTTCTTGTTTAGGCTCTTTTAATTTGTAGTCCACCATAGGAAAGGGGAAAAGTAGGTCATAACACTGAAGCCACCTAGCCAGAGGCTCCAAAAAAGGACATTGGAGAATCATTCCCTAAATTTGGAAACTTCCAAGCGTTTCCCATGTGAATTCCACCAGCATGCTGTTTTCTGCTGTCTCTAGATTTTTTCATGGCTCGCAGGTTAATTGTGAAATAATAAATGTATCTTATTTGGCCCTCTTTTGTTTGCATGTTAGGGCTATAATTCAACAAACTCTGTGCCTGAGGCAGTGGCAAGCGTGAATATGATTTTCCTACATGTAATTTATGTTTGTATGTGTGTGCCTGCAACGTTTCTGACAAAGTAACCTGAGATTTGGGTCACTGGAGCACATTATTTTATGACTACAACGTTGGCTTGCTAAATGGTGTAAAAATCCTGCCCTTCATCATCTCTGCAATGTCGTCCGTTTCATTCGGAAAACCTCCGAAGTGTTTGTGTGTGGCCGTAGTTTCCTTGTGAAAGCAGGGGAGCGTGCTGCCGTTTTCAGAAAATCATTCTTCAGAATGCTATGGAACAATAGTTTTACAATTACCTTATTACGACGAGTGGTAGGAGACACATGTCCACAGAAAAATGCAGTCACCTCGGTCCAGCAGCTCCGATAGCTAACTCTGCATGCGTGTCCATCTGAAAGGATTATAGATGCTGAATGGGGTCAGATGGTCAGAAGAAAAGCGTTGTTTGTACGGTGATCCACAAAAATGTCCAGAACAGAACATTACGGGTAGGATATAAGCTGTAAAAAAATGGTTGTAGGATTTAGGATGTTTTATAGAACACTGTAAAGACTAGGAATTTAAAATTCAGTGCTGTGAAAAAGTATTTGACACCCCCCCCCCCCCCAACTGTTTTTTTTTTCTTTTTTTGAATGTTTATCATGCTTTAATCAGACCCTAGTTTTTCACAAATTTTTTTGCTTTTGTTATTTTTCATGATAAAATGACTGATTTTGTGGCGGACAATTTTGTAATTTAAATATATAAATATAAAAAATTATATATATATATATATATATATATATATATATATATATATATATATATATATATATATATATAATCTTTTTACCATTTTGGTAGCCTACTATGTTAGGTGTGCTATCTGAAACAATGACACAAATCATAAAAATAAAGCTTCTTTATTTTGGTCCCTTGTCAAGACAAGATCTCAAACAGATCTAAACGATAAGGATTAAGCCAAAGCAAGGCTGTATAATTTGTATGCACAGTTTTTCTCTCTCTCAGATTTTGCTCCCTGGAGCATCTGGCATGTACCTTAAGGCTGATTTATACTTCTGCGTCAAACGCCGGCGTATGCTACGGCGATGGCGCATAGCCCTTCGCCATGGCCGTCACTGACATGCACCTTTAAAAAAATTTAACTACACGTCGGAACGACGCATAGCGTAAGCTCTGTGATTGGTCGGCTTGGTAGCGCTGACGAGTCTTGGCGGGACCGAGAGCCGCTCGAATGGCACGAGCGATTGTTTACAAGTGTGGAGTACCGTGAAGGAGCTCCGGATGGAAAGCTTTGTTTTGTGTTTACCTCATAGTTAAAGTTGTTG